TTAAAAAGATTATCTCCTTCCTTCAATAGGCTTGATTAGCTAATATTAAGTCAAACACTTAAATCCTGATTTGTCCATCTAAAACAAGAATCCTAACTATAAAATTTTCAGACCAACGATGTTCAAGCATACTTAGTTCATACTGTATTGATTTAACCTGTCTTACTAAATTTGGATCTATTACTAGTTTTATTAGATTTATTATTGATTAAATAACCAAGCATAAATTAACCTTTTTATAAAACTTTTCAGTTCATAAATCATACAAATTTATGTTAAACACTTTTTTATTTTTTTTCAAAATTTATTTGTTTTTTAAAAAGGTATTAAAATATCCTTATTAACTGATATAAATATCATCAACTTAATATAAATGTTCATTAATGGTATCAGATTTCTTACAAATATTGAATATTTAGATAGAATTTGATTTTTTATTTTTTGAGAATGTACTTTACTTTTTAAAATTAAATTTCATAATCATCTACTAATTCATAAGCATTTTTAATAATTTAAGATAATCATTCACTTATAAAGTCCATAAGAAATTTGAAAAAGTCTATCTACATAAATCAAAATTAACATTTATTCTTCAAGAAAACAAGACAGGGCAAATCTATCTATTAATTAAAATGTGAACTCTGATACTTAAGATAGAAGGCAGATCGATTAAACTTTGGCTCATCTAGAAAAGAAGAAGTCTTTTAAATATTCATCTTGAGATTTTATGATGCAAATGAAATCAAATTTTCTCATGAAGAGTAGAAATTCTATAATTATTCGATAAAATGTACTGTAAGTATTGTTCGATCTGGAAATATATACTTTTTTGATTTCAGGAACATCAATTGGATAAATATTGATTCAAAGAGATGAAGAGACATCAATACCAAAGCATTTCTGTGAGAAGTTTTCAAAGAATATTAATAAATAACAAGTTATTTAGATGGATCCAATTCTAGGAACAGGAGGAAAGGCAAGCATGCATTAAAAATATTATAATATTTTTGGGTAAAGGAAGAATATGTTATGTTAGTGGTGAATAAGGGTTGAATAAAATCTTTAAAGAATATTAAATGTTAAAATCATAACTGCTCAAGTTTATCCAATATTTGATAAAAGTATTTCATTAGTTGGCTTTAAAAATCTAAGACTTTGGGGATACCATGAATAAAAATTCACATGCTGAATAGGTTTTAAATATTAAATACATAACATTTAATTATTATAATTAAAATTATGTCTCTATTTATTAATAAGTATGTTATTAATTAACCTAACATTAATATTGGAAATAAACATTTTTTCAATTATTATTCTGTTATAATATCATTAAGTGAATGAGATTATATGATTTAATATATTTGATCTAACATATGTAACATCAATTCATTTTATATTATTAAATTAATAGATCTTTATGCAAGCTATCTAAGGATTTTTTATAAATACTTTAAAAAATAGAGCTTAACACTTATTGTATCTCCTTGTGAAAATACTTTGCTTGAAATAAAATAATAAAAGAAATTAATTTTGTGAGATAATTGTGATGGTATAAAGAAAGAATTATAGGTAGAAAATTTGATTTTTTTTAAATAGTTTGATATGCTCGTTATATAACATTCAAATTTGTATTTTTATATGCACTTATGAGCAAATAAGGAAATTTCAGGATTTTTTAATTGCTTAAAAATCCTATTTATAATCTAAATTCTAGAAGAATCTTAATCTATAAATATTTCCAAAATTTTACAATTTCCTTAACATTCTCTTTAAATTAATCATCAAATTATTAGCATAATTGACAAAAAATAGAGAAAAAACAATAAGGAAATAATATTTTCCTTTAGAATCAGTTTCTATTTGATAGGAAATCAATTATAGAGTTTGGCACTCATTTTGAAGTAATTTAACAATTAAACTTCAAATAATAAGTTTTGAAGTCGACATTGCCATAAGTAATCTTTTTTTTTTATTGAAGATTTCGGGTACTAAATTTTTTATTATAAAACAGGAACTTCTAGTACCAATTTTTTGTAGAGTAAATTGTCAAGTTAATCATACTTAATCCTTTTTTGCTTTAATATTATTATAGTTATTTTCTTCTGTTAATAATTGCCATAGGTAAAAGACTAAAAAGTTTTGATTATAAATTTCTTCAATTTTATGGGATGAAATTTCTTAATAATTAAAAAAAGAGAAAATAGATTTTTATTGTTAAACAATCACTAGATATCACTAAAGATAGAATTGTTGGCCATGTAAAATATGATAAATTCTCCTTTACTGAATCTAGATTTATGATTGATTTTTTCTATTAAGAGAAGCCTAGAATAATATTTCAAA